TAAACCCTAAACCCTAAAACCCATGACCCGGAGTGCCTGGTGGAAGGGGCTGGAGCACTGGCGCGAAAGTCGCAGCTGGCGTCGGAGGCTCCCCTTCCTGGAGAGCATAGGACTCCTTAGGTTTAGGGTTTTGGGTTTTAGGGTTTGCGGTTTTGGGGTTTAGGGTTTAGGGGTTTAGGGGTTTAGGGTTTTTGGGTTTGGGGTTTTACGCAGCTGTAACCGGCTTTCTGATTTAATCAGGATTTTTTGTACTGCATTTATAGATGTCAGAGTCCCTTCGATCCGTGTTGCTGGGTGGAGACCCATGTTGGTAGGACACTTCCCTTCATAAATGGCTTCCTCGACTGCCCTCACCTAGAGCTTTGGCTTAAGACCGAAGCCTAAGATGCATTTTAGGAACCCTAAGCCCTAAACCCTAAACCCTAAACCTTATACCCTATAACCCTAAACCCGAAACCCTAGGATTCAGGATTTCAGGTCCCGGGCTTCACGCGTGACTTAGGGCTTTCGCGGAAGTCGTAGAGACTTGGAACCGGGGGATCTAGGGTCCGGGTGGTTTTGGATAGGGGTGTTAGGGTTTGAGGGTGGTGCATAGGGACTTGGGGATACATCTTGCTAGAGCTATATTCTTTCAAGGACCCCCCCCCAAAAAAAAAAAATGCTGATGCACAGTCAGGCTTCTGCATTTTTGGCTGCTGCAAACTTGCAAGTTGGGGCCTTCTAGATTCAGGGTTTAGGGTTTAGGGTTAGATTCTAGATATCCCGCCGCAAGAACTTTTTCAGTTTGTCTGCTCAGAGACCCAGAAAGTCCACTGTTCCTGATCTGAGCAGTATGCCTTTAACTCTACAGGTGGTCACAGAGTAGGCCCTTAATCCCTTTTTTAGGGTTCAGGTTCCCTTACAAAGTCCTTTAAACCAAAAAGAGCACCCTTTGTATTCCTAGGTTTCTCTTGGGTCTAGTACAGGTGTTCACAGCTTTATGTGGACAGTTCTCTAGTCGGTCCCTTCTAGGGTCCTTGTTGTAAGGGTGCCGTACTATTCTTGGGTCTGAAAGGACTCTGATTTAGAGAACTGCCCACGTAACTAAGATACAGCCTCTAATTTAAATGTCGAGGTATGTGGCTCTCCAGGAAGGTCTTCCCTACGGCTAGCCATGAATACAAAAGATGCATCGGAACCCCATGTTGCCCTTTAAAACGCAGGTGTCGCAGCAGTGGGAGGTTTGGCAGTCGCCGGCGCGTGCCGGGGCTTCTTTATCTGGGGCGCAACCCAACCAGCCTCAGGTGAACACACAGGTGGTTCTATAAATGAGGGTCCTTTTTGGGGTCCTTCCTTTTCCATAAGGGTGCCGCACCATTTTGGGGACCGAGAAAGGGATCCAAGTTTAGACAGCTACCCACAAGTTTTATCAGCCATGCAGATCGATCTGCTTGTGAGTTTCTGGGAAGTAACACGGGATTCTGGAGATGGAGGACTTTCAGACTTTTGGGCTAGAGGGTCCGGAGGTCCGGCGGGATTCAAGAGCTGTGTTCCAATCTTTCGGCTTTAACTCTGAAAGAAATTGGAATAGGGTTTGGAGTATAAGCTTTGGTGTCTTCGATCTCTTACACTTCGGCAGTTCAAGGCTGATGTAATGCACCTAGCTTCTTGAGGTTTGTAGTGCAAGGCATACAGAACCCTAAGAATGTTTGCAGGAACCCTACTGTAGACGTGTAGACTTTCATAGAATCCTCTTCGGAAAGCCACGCCCCAGAGCACAGTGGTTTAACCCCCTTGCAAGGAAGCCTGGCCCCTAGACCATCAGAGCCTGAACCCTATAAGCCCTATAAGCCCTAAACTCTGTAAGGAACACCTTAAGGAGCCTGTTAACCGAGAGGGTCCGTTCTGGAATGAGGTCCCAAAAGACCATCCTTATGATGATTGTGTGGACAGTACATGGGGAGTTCTCTAAATTAGGGGTCCCTTTTATAAGGGTGCCGTACTATTTGAGGGATCTACACAGGGACCCTAATGTAGAGAAGTACCCATACATGAATTCTCTTGGTAAGGAACTGTAGGAATATC